AAAAAAAAAAAAAGATGCATTGGTAATTCGAAGCAGAATTGGAGGCTCGCGAATCGGAAGTTTTGATTCAAACATAAGAGACACGTAATACGATAAACGAAACGAAAGAAAACGATTTAGGAAATCAGAATCTTTGGTTTAGCGAAACAGTAGTACTCGGAAACGTAGTATAAAAAATTACCGAAACGATCAATTCTTGAATCGTCGAGAAATTGTCAAAAGCACAATACAATTGAGACGGCTACATATTATATATGATATACGTGTTCATTTGAAATCGTGTCGACGATTCGAGAATTAATCGGTATCAAAAGTATTGGTAGCACCATTTCTGAAATCATCTTCTAAAATAACCGTATTACGTTTTTCGGTGAACAAGGTATCTTGACTGAGTGCTGGAACTTGTCTAGAGAATTCGCTGGTTGCCCATAAGAACAAATCCAACGTTTGTTCCGTACACTCGGCTATAAATCGAACAAACGGTCGAACATCTCCAGTATTCGCTATTTGAAGATTTTCATAATACGTATGTCGATGTTGCTTATGGATAATGACCGGTGGATAACCAGCTTGCATGAGAATCATGTTCATAAGCAAACGCGAAGTTCTACCATTTCCATCGGAGAATGGATGTATATGTACCAACTTGTAATGTGCCAGAGCTGCGTATCTAGAACAGAAGCAAAAAGGTAAGATGGAAATGATCGAAGAAAAGTATAGAGGAGAAAGAGAGTAGAAAGAAAGAAAAGAAAGGAGAAAGAAAAGGTATTACCTGACTGGATGCATTCGAATAGCTCTCTCACTATTCAACCATGATGCGAATTCTTCCATAAGATAATGAATATCTCCAGGACCGGGAGGTATGTGACCACCCACATAAACTTGAGTACGTCGAAATTGACCACCCTGTACAGGATCCACGTGTCCCAAAACACGCGTATGAATCTCCAATATATCCTTAATAGAAATTGATCCTACCCTATTGACCAGAGTCGCATTGATATATTTCATTGCAGCATCCAAGCCAAGAATTTCATTGTGCTCGTCGATACTTTTACCAACAACCGCTGTGCGAGTTTCAACGATTGCTCTGGTCTGAGCCAAATTCATCGTGTTTCCCTCGATGCCAACCGTATGATAAATATGTTGGAAGTAAGCCTCTTTCTTCGCACGTATCAATGCCGCATTGTTATCAGGTATCGCGGATAATGCGTTTCTTTTCTCGTCTATGCGTCGAAGCATCCTTCGATCCAATTCTTCAACTACCCTAGCCGTTCTCTGACTGTTTATCAATGCTCCTTCGTGATTCGGTTGATAACTTAATGCACGTACGTAATATTCGTTCGCTTTGATCACATCGTTTTGCGTGTATTCCAAGAACTCGCCATAATGATTTAAGATATCCGGATGACACGGTGCCAAAGCTACAGCATGCTGAAATAATTTAATCGCTTTCTTTTGCTTGCCTAACAATTTCATTTCTAATGCTAAATGTAACGAGGTTAAAGCTTCAGCGGTTGATGTTGCGCTATTTTCGATTTCCAACCGAGATCTTGGTAACGCCACATCTAAATATACTTCATCGTAGACATTTAATACACTTTCCGACGGAAGCGGAATAAATACGTGATGATAATTATGATCTGAAAGGAGAAACATAATCATTATAATTGTCTTGATAATGGTTAATTAAAATGTCTTGATAAAGGTTAGATGGGTCACGAAAGATTAAATAATGGTAATGAATGGTGAAAATTCCGCGAGCATACCTGATAAACCGCGAATATATTGAGACAATAACGTGCCGATAACAGCAACTGCGATACCAGATACAAATACGAGAAGTACAACTATGCGATTCGCCGTCATAGCGGCATTCACATTCTTGGTTCTTTCTTTTATGTATCCAAGCTTTTCATCATAAAACACATAACAGAACTTTTCACGTGATAAGAACATCTTGAATTTACTAAAAATTTAACTAAATATTCCTTTTGATCGTCAACGAATCGCAACATACTCTCAACTTGTTTTCAACACGTTTTACTTCTCGTTCTATACCAGTGACACAACGGTGCTCTGCTTCGTTCGACATTTCGATCATGTGGTTCTTTTCAATTGGTCTAGTTTTCATTGCAGCACGTAAGCAATCGATTCTTTCTTTCTCTCTCTATCTTTTTCTCCTATTCACAAATGTCACTAGCATCGTTCGTCGCAATGCAGTGTGGATTGGAAGATAGCGCCCTCTTATCTAAATGCATATTTAAATTCCATAGAAGAATGGGTATTTTTATATATGAACGTTTTGTGAATTTTAAATCTATTTTGTAGCACAAAATCGTACACGTTATCATTCGATTAATAGACGAGGTATAGAACAGATTTAAAATCGGAGTTGTTTTTTAAACGTATAAATTTAGCAAAACAAAATAGAAAGGAAAAACAAAAATAGTGGAAGAAGCATAAACATTGGATAAAAGTATAGAGATGAACTCCACTTTTTGAATGGTAAAGAAATATTTTCAAAAGTATTCAAGAGATGGTGCTGATGATCAATTCTTACCATTTATCCTCTGTTTTTTTTTACTATTTTTTTTTACCATATTCATTTGCTATACTCTAGAGATGGCGTTAGTTTCCATATTTTACTCTCTCTCTCTCTCTATTTCTTTCCAATATTTGTTTTCTTTGTTTATATTTCCATATATCTATAAAATTTATACGCTGGAGAAGTGAATTCAATATTCGATTAATTTTATTATACTCTTTTCGTGAAATTTTCATCGTTTGTATTGTATACATATTAATTTATAATATATTTAAAAAAATAATATGTATAAATAATTTTAATTTTAATTTCGTTGTATTTAAATCTATTTTTATAAAAAATTCTCACAATATGATATTATTTTCGTTTCATTGTAATAAAAAATATAAACGTAATTCAATTCGTAATCGAAAGATATATATATATATATTGTAAGGAAATATTTACGAAAAAATGTATTAAAGAAATTATAGTCGACTTTATTAAATTTTGTTGAATTGAATGTATTTCCTACATTCGCCGCTCTAAATTATAGAGGGCATATCAAACACTGATTTTTTGTACGATCGGTATTTCAGAATACGTAACACAAAGTCCGTTAAATGATTAGATTTATTTCGTCTGTGATGTTAAATAGAATCAAATGAAAATCAGATTATAGTTTATACATATACTTTTGAAAACAAAAAAAAATTGAAAGATAAAAAATGTGAAAAGTATAAATAATTTAAAAACAACGAAATAAAGAACGAAGAAGAAACGAACGAAAAGAAAAACATTGAGTAAAATGAGATGAAACGAGAGAGGAGTTGAGAATAAGCGAAAGGCTATATGGTTAGCTAGGAGACGAGACGGTGCAAGACAGGATCCGTCGAGGTGGGAGAATGATGCGAACGAACGAGAAGGCGAGGTAAGTCGGTGCAAGCGAATAATAGCCAAAACGACCCTGAAACCGAGGCCATCGTTGTTCGTTGGCCTGAACAACACGCAAGCATGCTCGTTTCTCTTTACCTTCGCGCGATCTTATGCGTCGCATCGAGCGCAAATGCAAGCATGCGATAAATATTTGCAGATTGATAGTTATAACGAAAGCACATGGCGCGTTAAATTTTCTCTTTCTACCGCTATTTCAAAAATGTGATTATCGTATAAAATTATTTTCATAAAACGAATTGTAGCGAATGTCGATAAAATATCGACACTTTGAAATTCAGTTTACCGACTGCTTACAGGAGGGCGCTACTTACTCGCTGTCTCGTTAAAAAAAAATAAACGAATAAAAAGGCTAATAAATCAACTTAATTTCTCTTGTTAGTTTTTATCAAGTGGTTTTCGAACTGTGAAATAACGATTAAAACGATTCTTTATCGTGAAGAAAAATCGAAAGAAATTGTTGATCGTTGAATATTTAATATTCTCTAAATACAGTTAATTCCATGCAGTAATTTAAACGTTTTCTTTTATGAATATAAATTTTTTTCTAAACAACATTTCAAATAATGTTGACTAATTATGTATAATAAAATAAAATGAACATTATAATTTCTCATTTTTAATAGTCCGAAAAAATAGTAGAAAAAGAAACGGGACATCACAATATACAAAGTAAGATTATTCTCTTCCCTAGAAGCTGTTCGTAGCAGCGACCGGTTCTGCTCTAATTACGTTTCCCGTGAGTACTCGAGACCCTTCGTTTTTTCGTTATGGTTCCTCTTTTTTGAATCGACTACAAACCGTGACAAAACCAGAAGAGATGAACGAATCGAAATCACGACACAAATTAAACCGATAATAAAGAAGTAGCATCCATCTATCGTACTCGCCGTTCATTTTTGCGATACACGTACTTATTTATGTATATTATTACGTACGTAATAAGCTAGAAGCAGGTCGATTTTGCGTCGTTTTTGTTCACTCGATTCATCATCGTCGCGTCCAAGATTAGACGCTTTCCACGAATGCTACGATACAACCTAATGAACCGAAATGCCTTCGCATTTGTGATTCTCGTTCAAAAAACCGCATGGTCATCGAGTTATAAGAATCAATTCGTAAGAAATCTCTCGCCTTTAATCATTTCCTAAAAATAAAATATGAAATATTCGCCATTTGTATTTTGTATCATAAAGCATGGAAAACGAATTGAAATTTGTACATATATATATATATGTATATACATAGACGATGCGTTGCGTCGAAGCGAGGTCCGACGGGAAACGGAAATACCCATGCGTTGGAGATTCGAGTTGGATGCCACATTTTCCTTTTCAAGGTTTTCTTTCTATTTTCTTTATGGTTTCTTCGATGAAACAACGAAAATACCACATTTTCCGATTATAATAATAAAGGTAAAATGAACAATGGAAGAAAGTGACATTGTAAAAATTGTTTAACGGTATCGAAAAAGAAATTTCGGAAATTTATTTGGCAGCGCACAGGTCAGGTAATAAATATCAGGTAGTAGTATAATAAATATCATATAAAGGAGCACGTCGAGTTGGTAGAGAAGACGGACGCACGAGGACGGAAGCGGGGATGTTTCTGCGTGGATCGAGACAGACATAGAGAAGAAAAGGAAGAAGAAACTCGAGTACGGGAGTACGGTGTACAAGCCGCTATTTCTTCACTCGGGTCCTCGATGATCGTGCATGTATACGATTACCGACCACACGATATACGTACACAATAGCGAGCAACCACTATTCTCAAATATGCGTGTGTGTGCATCGTTTATGTTTACGTTTGGAAAGTTTGATGATTTTTAACGGACGCGCAAAATGAGCGCCGCAATCGTTCGAGCGGAAAACCGGGCGAGAGTTTTGAAGGACGAGATGGATAGAGAAAGAGAGAAAGAGAGAGAGAGAGAGGATAGGAAAATTTCCAGTCGGATGGTCGGTCGGTAAGCAGCGATCGACCGGGCGAATAGAACGAGAAGGAAAAAGAAAAGAGAAGGGTGAGTTTTGATCGGTGGTCCGTATCGGTCGAGTAAACGGGAAGCGACGCGTACACACGGCTGCAACCACGTGTCACGGTTATCGAAAATAATAATAATAATAATAATAACAATAATAATAATAATAATAATCCGAGATTGGAAAGTTGAAAGAAAATAGAGAGGAGAGGATGGAAGAAACGATTTCGACGATTTGGAAAGGAAATTTAGCCTATGCCATGGGCTTAAGAGCGAGGCAGAGACGCGTAAACCTCGCGCGGTCGTCCTTCCTCGAGATCGCTCGGCTCTCCTTT